CAATTCTGTGCCAAGAACTTCAGCTTTTCTCCTTCCAGAGGAGAGTAGAGAGCTATTTGAAAGCCATAGCAATTAGCAATTCCTACATGCACAGCTTTTATTAGAAAGAATGTACCTATTCCAGAAAAAGCCAGCAACTCCCTGAGGAGTGATTAAACAGTTTGAAGACCTTTTGGTACCAGGAGCATAGCCATCACTTAGTCTGTTCTCTATTCATGTGTTATGTTGCAAAGGGGAATAAAGAATCCTGCCCATCATGCTGCATATAAAATGCCTTTAACTGGGCACTTCTGTGTTCCTGATTTTAACTTCAGTAGCTACAAATAGGAGTACTGTCTGGTGTACTATGCTCCGAATAGGCCACTGTTTCTGACTTTCTTCAGGTCCTTGTCCAGCTTATTGCAACCAGCAGAAAGTCTCCTTTTTACTCCACCAAATAATCTGACTGATGTCTGATTTTCACGCTCCCAGGTAGATTAAGCCAGTGATTATGTGGCTGAAGCTTACCAAGGACTTTGCTTTCCCTCCCTGAGCACACTGCTCTCCAGATATTGTCTCACACAGACAGCAGCCACATCCATCACAACATGCCTAATTTTCACCAGCCATCCACCACAAAGGTGAAGAGATGGAAGACTTGTGGTTTATTTTAGTTATACAGAAGTGATATCTTGTCGACAGCAGGACATAGACACACAGAGCAGAGACAGACTTGCTAGAGCCCGGCTCTAGTGTTCTTGGATCTGCAGTATGTTTGAAGCTTCTCCTCATTCATGAGCATTTACAACTTCTTAGACAAATCACAATTATTGCCCCTGTACTAAACCTACAGATCTACAGAGGTACATAGGTATCTGAGTGTTAGGTAAGGAGGCCAAATATGGTTGCCCCACCGGACAAGGCTGCCACAGTTCCATGTTCCTAGCTCCAACCTGTAGCAAGGCTGAGCGTGTAATCCCAGTAGGCACCCACACCAACACACATATACAACATATATGTATTTGTACATGTATACATGGCTGGCCACACAGATCAATGTGGAAAGACGCTCTCAGAACGCACTCAGACGCAGCACCAACAGCCTCATCTTATTCCCCCCTCTGGCTGGTCAGGAGGAAGGTCCATTAGTGAGATATACATGTATACATTTGTACAATGTGTGTAAATCCAGCAGCTGGGCTTAGACACTCAGACCACCCAGTAGCTGGCCCCTGGATTGCCAGTCTCCCTAGTTGCTGGCACCTGGGCACAGGAGCCCTCGAGGCCCACAGCCCCAGTCCAGTTGCTGGAACAGGCCCTTTCACTCACACACATACACACGCAGCGGATCCCTCCCCCAGCTAGCCTTGGACACACAGTCCATTCAGTAGGTCATTCTGCATCCTCAGTCTTCCAAGTGCCTCAAGCCTAGACACAAACACTCCAAGTCAGATGCCTCTGCACACGCACACACATGCACACACACGCACAAATGGGTCTCAGTTGACATCCATACCCCCACAATCTCCCTGGCAACCTGCCAGGACTCCTCTGGTCCCCCCAGTAGCCTACTGCCTCTGTGGTCTCACCCTCAGGGAGACGTATACCTCACTCTCAGGTTACTTCACCTACTTGCCAGCTGGTCTGGCTTGACGTTTGCTAGCAATCACACACACACACTCACTTGCAGACCCTCACTCACTCCAGTTGCTGGCACCATGGACCATGGACACATGGGTAATTTGCTTGGAAGGGCTGCTCCAGTTGCCTAATCTTGCTGGGTTTCATATCTCGTCCACGGGGATGATGGTCTCCTGGGACAGCCCTGGGAGGAGCCCATACAGGGTGTCCATTCCTCTGAGTAGGTAATTTTTGTTCCCCCACCTGCCATTATGCTTCTGTGATCTCTATGCTCGTGGAGATGAGCCTTTGATGGGTTCAATGCTCTCCTGTGATGGGCCTGGGAAAAGCTGGAGCAGGGTATAATTTGAGTTCCCCCATCTGCCATTGTCTCTCTGTGCTCATTCATGGTTTTGGAAATGAGCTTTTTTATTTCAAAACTTAAAACTGAGTGCTTCAAAAAAATCCACCACTTACTTACCCATCCTACCTCACTGATACTTCTCTGATACCTAAAGACCATGGATGTAAAAAGTGCCTTCCCTGAGCACACACTAAATGGCTGTGGAGAATATCCAGCTGCATTAACTCTTT